AGGCAAAAGTCAAAGTACGACAGAGGCGAGAGTGAGGATGCTGTAAGGATCGTGCAAGATTGCGAAGACAGTAGCGATCACGGCGGTCCTGGAGAGATAGGAAGCCAGTGTCAGCGTACAAGCTGAGGGTCGGAGTTGAACGAAAGACACCGGAGCTGAGGCGCAACCCAGTATTGTGCAAAGGATCAAGACGACGAAGGGTAGAAGGAGAAGCAGAAGAATATGCAGGGCAACCATAGTCGAGTTTAGACAGGGCGAGAGAAGAGTGAAAATAGGATTTGATTTGTTGCCGCTGAAGGCGGCTAGTTTATTGTGCACCCCATACTCATCCTGTGAGCGGTAGCGCAAAAAGCATTACAGAGGGCACAAAAGGTCTTTATCAGACCTCATCTTAGATTATTATATAAACAATTTCATCTATCCTTCATACCTTATAGTTACAATGTCAGCTAGTTACAGAGAAAGTGCTATTTCAAGAGCTATATATTTACAGTAAGTCATCATACATTAATGGTAGGTCTTATCGCTAATACATAATAGTTTGACCAATGGGGATATTACAGTCATGGGGGAGCTTCTATTTATTATTAGTCCTCACAATACACTACTTGTTTCTGAATCTCATATGTCGTTTATCTACTGGAAGTGAAACGTGGATACAGTGCAAGGATTTCAGGTAGTTTATCCATGGTAATAAGATAGATTGCCATATCATACAGAGTGAGCTTAGATTTATCTCTAAATGGCTCAATTTTACTACAATCCAAGATATAGTGTTCGAGTGTGTGTCCCTGTCTTTGTCCACACACTTTACACTTTACTTCATCTTGATCCCTATACAAGCCCAACTGCCAGAGATACTTGTAGCCAAGTCTTATACGAGCTGTGACAACATCTGTTAGTCTACTGACTTTGTTACTTGCCCCATACACATGTTTTACTTCACATATTTCATTGTGATGAACAATGAACCTGCTAGTTCCAGTTTGCACTGTTCTACTTTCTTCAAATCCATCCAGGAGTTCTCGTCTAATGACACTTTTAAGGGACATATTTGATAACTCAAGATTCCGTTCAATACTGTCTTTATTTACTGCAGCCTTAGCAAGGGCGTCAACTTTGTCATGTTCCTGCATGCCAATGTGAGAAGGAATCCACAACATTTCTATATTTACCCTCTTGCTAAGTATTCTTATATATCTACGTCTAGCTTCCAAGACAAGCGCGTTATTACTTTTATTGCAAACTGTTTATTGCTCGTAGTGAGGGAAGGGAGTCGGAAATAATTAAGCTGTCTACTTCAGTGTTGTCAATAATTTCGAGTGCTACCAACTCTGCTTGCATTGTGGATGCCCAGTTACTAATTCTTATATTCCTTTGAATTGTGCTACCATCGGGCTGATGAGCAATAACAGCACTTCCTGCCCTCCCTGTAGCTGTATTGAGTGATCCGTCAGTGCATATGGTCTGTGCTATGTTGTTTTCAGCTTGTATATTGTGCTTAATTTAGCAGCAAGCTGAGCATGAGGGTTTTGTGATTAGTTTCTTGGTGGGGTATGCAGGGGTCAGGATGTCAAAAGGTACTATCTGCCAGGGTGGAAGGAAGTGCTGTACTCTTTCATCTGTATATACATCGTGCAGTCCCATCATTTTAATATGAGTGGCTGCTCTTTGAATCCATTTAGACTCGCTAGTTCCATTTCGTATGTGTTCTAACAGTGCAACTGACACAATGTTGTTTTTGTTATCACGCAGAAGCTTTAGTCCCATCATAAGATTAATTTCAAATATTCTATCTCTAATGCTAAGTATATTTAATTCTTTCCGCATGTTGAGAACTTTGGTAATTATAGGACAGCCAAGTACAATTCTGAGTGCTTCATTTTGCATTTTTTCCAGTCTATCATTACTATGAAGCTTTTCAAGGTAAACTAGTATGTTTAGTATGTCACATATGCACGTATTTAATAAGTCAATATTGACTATACGAAAGTGAGAGAACGGGTTGCATTTTCCTATCACACCTGTATAGGTTATATCCTGGAATCCAGATCTCACTGTCCAAGAATTCCCCTGCATGGGTGTCTGTGAAAGCTCCAAATACTGCATTTGACTCAGTGAGGAGGCCATTTATGAACTGTACTTTGTTGTTTGTTCTTGTTTTTAGTCAGTGAGGTCAGTGAGAGTAGCACGGAGGGTGAATAGGTTCCAGTCAGCTTTAGCAAACTGCCACCTAGGGAACACCTAGGGAAGGTGAGGGGAGGGTGAAAAGAGAAAGAGGAAATAAGGATGGAAAAATGGTCACTGTTATGGAGGTCATTAAGAACCCGCCATATGAGATCTAAGTAAAGGGACGACGAGCAGAGAGACAGATCAAGATAGGAAAGAGTGCGAGTTCAAGTCTACATGGGTGGGCTCACCAGAATTTAGAAGAGACAGGGAAGACGAGAGGACGAACGGTTCGAGAAGACGGCCTCGGGTGTTTGTCAGAACATCACCCCAGAGGGTGTATCGACAGTTGAAATCACCCAACAGGAGCACTGGCTCTGGCAAGGAGTCCAGGAGGTGCTTAAGATCAGGAAGGGAAAGCGGGACATTTGGGGGACTTTTATTACCACTGCTGCCTTATTCACTTGTGTTGATATCCTCAAAATACATCCAGTCTGCCTATCACATGCCTCTGTATGACTAACCATCCTGTGTGATGGGGATTTTTTAGCATCACCTAGTTAGCTTTTTTTTGACACACTGTACTCCATATAGTCTACTGCAGCTGCACTAATGCAGATGTACCTCGTGTAGTAAAAAAAAAAAAAAAAAAAAAAAAAAGCAAGCAAGCAAGCAAGCCCAGTTGGTCTGGCACTTCTCGAAGAAAACTATCTAGTTTTCTCTTGAAAATCTCCACGGTTGTTCCGGCAATATTTCTTATACTCGATATAAGTATATATTCTTCCCCCTCCGTCCCATCCCTAATCCTTCCCAGTGCTTTAGTCGTAATGGCTTGGCACTTTCCTCTGATGGCTCCCTTCCCTTCATCATGCACTCTTTCAATATTTATATGTATACATGTAGCTTGTTTCATCATTTATACATGTAATGTTAAGACACATATGTAAGTGGGTAATTATTAGTAACTAGAAATGTTAATTATTTAGATTTAATTGTGCGCAGGCGCAACCCGTCCTCTTAACAAATTACGTCGTTTTTCTCTCGTATGCGCACACAGGCTGAAAAAAAAGGACGTAATTGAAAATGGAAGTCTCGCGAAAGTGACGTATTGTTCCGTTTTCTATTTTGGGTTTCCCTGGCTTAGGCTGTTTAGTTTATTTAATTTGCACCCCCATACTAATCTTGTGGGCGGTTACAAAGGCACATAATGGGCTCAGGGACTGAACCCCACAATTTAGCTAAGCAAGTTACAATCTTAATGAGCTAATTACAAAATTCAATGCACATCGTCACATCAACAATGAGCTCGAGACTGACCACAAGTAGTTTCTAAATTAAGCCACTGACATGTGGAGAGCTAGTGTCACAATTGATGTTTATCCTGAACACCCCCCCCCAACCAGTGGGCAGCGGTGGATAGGTTACAATCACTAAGTTAAACTAGTTAGTTACAGATTTAGGCATTCAGTCGATCTGAATAGTTTAGCAATCTGGGGACATTTGGCTAAGATTTCTCGTAGCAGATCATTTTGAATAAAATATTTACACATCAAGAACATTTGCTATAGAATTATCTGAATTCACGTATCTTTGCACTATCAGTGACGGAGGATGTGCAAATAATTTTGTTGACAGTTTACATTTGGTCAGGTCTACATAAGCAGTTAATGAGAATTCCCAGAGATACTTTTAAGTACAAGCCGAGCAGTAGTAACATCTACAAGTCTGCTGATTTTTACCAAATGGTCCATAGACGTGTGGCTCCACTTGTATGATAGGTTCGAACCCTCGTCACGGCCCTTGTGGATTTGTTCAAGTATAGATGGAATTAATGTTGTCGATTTCACTTTGCCGCAGATGTACAAGATTTCGTTTAAGTTTTTGGTGTACTATTGCCCTCAGACTGCTTATTGACAATCCAAGGTTATATTAAATTTCGGCAGATTCTTTGGCTAAGTCATCAGGTCATGCATTCAGAGGCCAACAAATAGTTCAGTGTGAAGGGTATAGGCCCAGTTGTTTACAAGGACTTCCCCACTTATATTTTAAGCCATCGCCCATTGTCAGCACAACTGCACTTCTAGCGGCACCCGTGGTGCGATGTAATGAACCATCAATGTATATGATTTGAGAAAATGATCTGCGGACAGAGCATCAATTTGGCTGAAGGGGGCATAAGTGCCAAACAAGCAATTAATGAAAACTAGTTCGATTTCAAACTTTGACTAGTTGTATATGAAAAGGGTTTCAGCTGGTCCAAGTCTCGGCATCGTAGCATAAATAGGAAGCATATAATAAAAATATTTAATAATTAGTTTTATCTCCAAATTTTTTTTTTCATTTTTTTCTTATTTGTTTATCGGACGCCTCTCCGAGAGACAAACCAGGATTTCACACAATTCCCCCATGCACTCGAGCTCTGTCAATATGCCGTTCTACCTCTTCGCTTGTACTTCGTCATGGCCCTTGTGGATTTGTTCAAGTAAGTAATTATCAAAAGAAGGCACCAAACCGGGAAGGCTATGTAGCACCATCAAATGTGCGGAATAATCAGAGGGCGCTAAATATCACCAAGGATGCCAATACGAGAACAAAAACGCATAAGGCGAATGATATCAAAAGTGTGGATTTGTTCAGTTAAAGCTGTTGACAGTACAACAAAAAAGCAGCATACCAGTAACAAATTGTAGTTTACAAATTTATGTTTTAATCAGTGTGTTTCTCATGCACAGCTTAAAGAGCTGACTGTAGCAGCATAAAATACAAAGAAAATGTTGCCCAATATCAACAATAAAAATAATAGTACTATACAAGGATAGTGAAAGATGAACTTATGTATTTCTATTTATTTTCATCAATAGTTCCTGTGGAGAAAAAACAACATTAGTAATCTTACTTTCATAAACATTTGTGTACATTATCAAAAGTTTTCAACAATATCTTCTTATTCACAATATTTCAAGGAAATTATATTCAAGTGTTGGATCGTATAGTCCACATGGATCAAGTTTCAAAAACAAAAGCAGTAACCATTGAATCATTGTGCATGTACAGTACATATATACATGTTACTGGTTTAATAAAAATATGAGCATTATTATTTTATTGATAGCTAGCAGGTAGCATGGCACCCTTACTACTACATTTACATGAAGTGGATAAAAGCAGAAAGGCAACAGGCAATATGACGGCCATTCCTCCACTATCCTCTGCACTAAGCAACATCACAGAGTTAACATCACTTCACTGCCAGTATTAGTTAATTAACAATGAGCTTTGTACCAGATGCAAGGTTACTTTCTAGTAATAAATCATACTGATCTTTTAACATTTAATCTCATTAGTCCAACACTTCAATGTGTTGGCTCTATTTTGTACTCACTTTGGAAGAATACCATCCTTCTTCGCCAGACGCGCAAGGCAATCATCAGACTCGCCCTATAAATTAAAATTTAGGAAGATTAATAAACAATGAAACATACAAAACATACTGACAGCAAGAAAATCTGGATACACTGGAATCTATTGCTTTCAGTGGTAATATCTGATCGAGTCAGCCATGCCAAGAAATGATACACCTAGGAAGTTCAGGTCAAGCTAGCTTGACCTGAACTTCGTATGTTTGAGATAATGAACTGAGTATGTTTATATAATGAGATAAGAACTGGTATGTTTGAGATAATGTACTTATACAGTACTCGTACCGAGTTAAACCCTCTGGATGTAACGTCTGGATGTAATGGGAGTGCAAGTTTTTAGTTCCGTTGCAATGTACTGTTGATATTGGGTGCACAAATTAGAGTGATTTCCTGTGTTTTTTTTCCCCGCATTGTAAACCACTGCATACCGATTATCTTTGAGATTTTTTTTTTTTTTTTTTTTTTTTGGTGTCCCCACGGCCCGGTCCTCGACCAGGCCTCCACCCCCAGGAAGCAGCCCGTGACAGCTGACTAACACCCAGGTACCTATTTTACTGCTAGGCAACAGGGGCATAGGGTGAAAGAAACTCTGCCCATTGTTTCTCGCCGGCGCCTGGGATTGAACCCAGGATCACAAGTCCCGCGTGCTGTCCGCTCGGCCGACCGATGTCTAAAATAAATCAAATTTTTATTTGGCCTACTGAAGTTAATTCCATAGATGTCCTTGAAATCTTGCATGGCATCAATGGTTCCTAGTACAGGTGCCAGTCAATGGAAAGAGGAGGAAAGAGACGGGGGAGGGGGGGGGGACTGAAGCCCCTCGAGGAGAGGAAAACCTAAATGTTTTCAAGGAAGATAACTCGAACCAAAGGCAGAGGTCATGCTAGCTGTACCTAGCAAAGAGAACCACATGCAGCTGTGACAAATTACAAATCAGTGCATACATAACAAAAGACCAAAACACACAAGATGCCTGAGAAAGGAATAAACAACAACACAGTCTCCTGCATTTTGACTAGTCCAAAGGACAACACTTAGCTGAGAACTGAATATGCAACCTAGCCAGAGTAGTTTCTAATTGCCCATTACAATGGTTAGAAGGCCAAGGAGAAAGGTTACTTTTAAGAACACAGTTTATTGGTTGTAATGTCAGCTCAATGAACTTGCCAACAGTCAGATTGCAGAATGAATGACCACGAAGAAATCTAAATAAGGAATCCCCTTTCCAGGAAATGTTACAAGCATGAAAAGCCTCCTCAGGGGTGGCATTTGCTAGTTCATTCAAGGTAACTACAATATTGCTGGGAACACAAATTTGACTTTTATAGTTGTCAAAGATTAGAAGCAGCCAGTATTGGATTTTGACCATTACAGCAGGTAAAGGGACAAAAGACTCAAGAACCACAAGGGCACTGATGTCGACAGAGAAAGTAGCTGACGAAGACCATACAAAATTATATAAAATTCTGCCATGAAGATGCTACCCTTCAGAGGTATGGAAAATAAATTTAATCAGGAAAACAAGAGTAGCCAACATTGTCAGCAGACACAGACCTATCAGTGAACAGAGCAATAGCATGAAAACAGTGGGGGAAGAATAAGCTTCACCAAGGTCTAGCAAAATTTCATAAAGTTGGCCTATATGCGGCAAAGAAGGAACAACACAGGAGACATGTTGCCAATGTGAATTGATAAGAGAATATTACAAACAAGCCACCATTGCAAGAAAAGACAGCGAGAGGGAATGGAACCCTCCTGAGGAGCCACTAGTGGTCAAAGCATGATATGCTTTGCAAGCCTGAGTTGTGAAGACGTCATTGGTCTCCATGAAACTGGTGAGCTGACTTCTAATCTCTCTGTCATGCTTTTATTATGTGGGGCATTAGTGCAACTGGTTTGCAATTCTTAACCAATGCTTTGCTCCTTTCCTCGTGTAGAGGAGCTACGTCTGCTGATTTAAGCACATCTGGTACCTCCCCCGTGTCCAAGCTCTTCTGCCACACTATACCGAGTGCCTGTGCTACAGGCACTTTGCATTGAGCCGATCTTGAACTTCCTGTATTACTCATCCCTCCTCCAAAACAGATATTGGCCATAAGGGGGCTGCAGTTGCTAGATGGGGTTCTTGGAGTTTTATGCCCCAAGCCCGGGAAGTATTGCAGGGGCTGGGTAGGCTCTACAAGATGAAGGAACATGAGGGAAATGTATGGGTCTCCATGAATGGTGGTGACAGGTGAGGTGAGCAGGAGCAACACCACTTATATGATGGCAGTGCATAAAACCCACCTCACCACATCAAAGAACCATTAAGTGAGGGGAGAGGACTCTATGAAACATTACACAACTTGGATATTTTCTCCATGACATTGGCTGAGATGGCATGTTTAGGCTTAGGGTGATTTTGTGATGGCATATGCTCAGCACAGCCATAGGGTTCAAAATGTACCTGAATGCATGTCAACAGCAGTGCTCAACATACCTGTTTGCTTAAAGTAATGGGTTGATAATGAAGGAGCATATGCAAGATGCAAACAAAAATTTCAATAGTTCCTAAATAATTCAATTAAAAAATTGAGAAGCATGCAAGTACCAAACAAGTATTTTAAAACAGTACACGGTTTCAAAATATGGGGTTACATCATACACCCTGTACATATTGTATTGATATTGAAATATTAATATTCTGGCAAGAAATATTGCCAGAACAACCATGGACATCTTCAAGAGAAAACGATAATTTTCTCCAAGGACCAACCGGGCTGTGGTAGATATGTGGGCCTATGGGCCATGCAAGCAACAGACTGGTGGACCAAACTCAAGTCAAACTTGGTCTCGGGCCGGGCTTGGGGGAGCAGAAGAACTCCCAGAACCCCATTAACCAGGTATAAGCATAATACTTAAAAGGTTATGTCTACCTTGAAGTCTCATGAAGTTGTGAATGCTGTACAGTAAATACGTACTGTAGTGTATTATATATACCCTTAACACTGTGTTGATTAAGTAGTTCTGCTGTATGTTGAGTACTACAATAGTTTATGAAAACTACTGTACACTAAAATTACGGCAACTTTAATTTTAAGACTATGTACACACAAATTTAGCACTTGTTCTAACTGTTCACGCCACACAATGTTTTTAGATGTTGGCTTTGGCTCGCTGCTGCTGTGGCTTCAGCTGCTTCTGAGCTGGTGCTGGCTGCAGTTGTACCAGTGCTGGGTACAGCTGTTCTCGTGCTGGGTTCGGCTGTTCTCGTGCTGAGTACAGCTGTTCTCATGCTGGTTGATTTTCTGCTATTAGTTCTTGCAAAATATTGCTTCATTTTTGGCAATAATAAGGCACTATTAGTAAGCTCCCCCCGCCGACCCACAGCGGTTGCAGTCAAGCGACACAGGCCCAACAACAAGGTAGCGAGCGGCCAGGATCCAATTTGAACTCCAAAAAACCCTGTGCCCGAATGTCAGCCCAAGACATTTTACCGAAGACGGTAGACAGCACAGCAAACTTACGAACGTTGTGGGGCACGTGGATAGAGAGCAGGCTGACTGGACCGAATAACCTTGCGGGCGACCCGAACCCTGTAACAGGGAAGGAGGGAAACCGGGTCAACCCAAAGCACATCCCCGACCACCAAGGCCATGACGAGCAGATAACGGTGGAGAGAAGCGACCGGACACAACACATGATGCATCCCCTGGCCTAACCAATCAAGCATCAACTAACAGACAGAAGTACACCTACGAAGGGACAAGAAATAATGGAAGGACTGCCGGGAAACTTCATACTGCCGCCGAGACAAAACACGCAGGTGGGACACCAATGAAGCCACCTGCTTGCTATACAAATGGTGAGCTTCCAAACGCGAAGATCCAAGAAGATCGAATCAGCCATCTAGCGGTGTCCAACCGAAGATGCCGCAGCTGAAATGGTCCAGCTGCTGAGGCTACAGATGGCGTGTCCCAGCCGAGGATTTTCACAAGAGAAGGGAAGAACGCATTTTCTCTCCATTCTTAGCACTTTCGCGCTTTCCAGTAGACGTGAGTCGGCACCAATATTATTAAGCGCACCGCACTCGTGCCCCTCGGGGGAGTCACGAGCAAAAATATTTGTATAAAATCCATTTATTATCCGATCAACTTGGGAATAGTATACAAATGTTTGCCATGAAATTTACGTTTTCTCTAATAGCCGAACAGCTTATAAAAGAAAACGGCGTGGCAGTGAATCGTGGTAAAACAATTGTATTATTGACACGACGAGTGTAATCGACGTAGTTTTTATATATGTTGCCGGTCGAACGCATCCTTATGTGACCTTTAATACTTATGTTCTTATAGAACATTCTATTGCGAGCACATTGGTACAAAAATGAAATACATACATTGACAAATAATGTCAGGACAGTGAATTGAATATACATTTTTCAAAGCGAGTTTCGCCGATATGCTGCCGCGGGTAACACTTCGGCCACTTCCCACACTGTTTTGGGTGGGCTACGACATTGAATCTATATTTATATGCATATGTCCGTGTAGAGAATTTTATTGCGATTCCAATGATACCACAATTAGCGATGTAGGACAACTGTAGGCTTCGCAACCATTAAGAGAGTGGAAACATTTTGTTGCCGTTTGGCGCTCTTGGCGAGTGATCTGAATAGTTTTTTATTTGGTGTTGATAGTCCTTATGCTTGGGCGACATTTTATAGGTATGCTCTTATAGACAATTTCATTGCGAACACAGTGATACCAAATTTAAATACGTGCGCCTTCAATTATTGTCAGGACAGTAAAAAGAGTGTACACTTTTTCGGTCTTACCGCATAGGCGCGCGGAGCGCCGAAAGCATCTAGGGTATTATTTTTTTTTGAGCGCCGAGAGTGCGAAAGTGTTAATAATAATTTCGTTACTGTTCTAATTCGTCTTGTTGAGCGTAAGTGGTTCCGCAGTTCGATGCCAAACGCCTGTTGGCGTTTCTTAGTAGTTACCCGCTGCATAATGCAACCCGTTCTTGCACTTTCGTATAGTCAATATTGACTTATTAAATACGTGCATATGTGACATACTAAACATACTAGTTTACCTTGAAAAGTTTCATAGAAAACACCGACCTTACCTAACCTTCTTAGTATGTTAAGATATGCATCTTATTGTTACCTATACCTATAATAGGTTAAGTAATAATTGTAATTACGAAGCAATAAGATGCTTATTTTAATTAACATACTAAGAAGGTTAGGTAAGGTCGGTGTTTTCTATGAAGCTTTTCAAGGTAAACTAAAATATTCACAATAAATTAGCATGTCACATATGCACGTATTTAATAAGTCAATACTGACTATACGAAAGTGCGAGAACTGGTTGGAGAAAGGGGACAGAGCAATCTTCAAACTCGCACAAGGTGAGAGGGGACCCAGGGCACACATCCATCGGACCCAAGTGCCCCCGCGGGGTTTCCCAGGGCACTTGGGATGGGAAATATGCTAAGGGAAGCCCAGGCAGGGCACTGCTAACCGGTGCCCCAGTCTAACAAGAAAACTGCTAAAAGCTGAACCCCCGGGACAGGTCCACCCACGGGGACCACCAAGAACAATAGAGGGATTACCAAAACCAAGGACAGAACCCCCCACCAGGCAGAGAACAAAAAACGAAAGAAAAACCATGCAAGAGGACAACTTATCCAGGCAGAACAGAGCATGCCACTATGAAAGGTGAAAACTAGCTGTACAGTATCCTGCACCCCCTACCTACCCAAAGGCAAACAAGGGTGCATAAACACCCCAGCTTACCAAGTTCGCCCAATCACTGAGCAGGGAAAGACCAAGCAAAGGTAGATCCCAAGGAGACTTGTGGAAGGTGGCCCCAAGTCCTTACAGGGCACCTAGGGAAGGTGACCCTAGGTGCATGCAGTCCGAATAATGTTGAAATTACTCCTGTCTCTCGCATCGCCAGAGACTCGGCACCACATCACGTGGCACAGAGTTGGAGGACAAGAAATTAGGAGCCAGAGTTACACGACCGTTCCCAATCACATCTCGGGTGTGGTGAGCCAAAGAACTCGGGTGTTGATAGCCGGCATGAGGGTCACCGGCTCCCCCTTTCCCTTCCCAGGGAGGGGAACGCTGCGCAGACAAGGGGCACGGCGACGTGGTGACGTCATGCTCATTTGCTCGTTTTCGTTTGGGAAGTTCTGTCCACAAGTTTGGCTTTCAGTAGTAATTTCTTAATCAGAATATGGGTTTGTTGTGGGGCGCTTACCTTTCTGGGTGCCCGACCCGGTCGATGGCAGACAGAATGCCTCCAACTACATGGGGGTTTCTACAAGCCATTGCTCCTCGCGCCTCTTTGAGGGGGTCAGGTTATGGCTCGTCATCCTCGGGAGGCCTAGAACTCCATTCACACTGACTGATGCCAAAGTAATATATCCATATCAAACTGGATAGCTCTGGGGAGCCAAAGGGGCACCCCTAGAAATTGATATGTTTAGGAAAACAAAATGTAATTATACAAACCATTTTTCTGATATCTCCACAAATGGCATAAGTCTTGTACTGTCCAGTCATACGGCCAGTAGATTCATCAACCTGGTTAGAATATAACAACCATTAGAGTAAGTCATAGGAATACAAACAGGGTAGTGTAATAATACACATACCTATACACTATATAGTTTTAAAAAAGCCACTTTACCATTAACCAAGTTATCCATATAGCACTAATGTGTGCTTGGTTAAGAACAGAGGGCAAGATTATTACTAGGTGATGTAATGAGTACACAGGTGATAAGTTCAGGGAATGCAAGAAGCACAATCAATGTAATGATTACAGGCAGATTTTGTCAACAAGAGGAAGGGTGGTTACACATGCTTTCCTGTGCCTATGTGTAATGAGATGCAATTAGGGCCCATCCTACCCCTCAGCTATTATACCTAGTGTCTTCATATATCCATACAGTCTAATGCTTTGATACTTGCCCTTAAAGCTGAAAATTGAAAGCTAAATTAAAGCTAATTAATTGAAATTAAAGCTAAAAATATTGAATTTAGTGATGAATGAAATGAAACTCCTTTAATGGTGGGCCCCTTAATATCTTCTTAAGCTTTGCTCTTGAGCTGTGAACATTCAACCATTTGTTGATCACCTGGGCCACTACAGTTATTGTCATTTGACTATTACTGCAAAGTTTATATACTTCACATTATTAATGGTAATATTGTCAGATGGATGTAATGCAGTTAAAGACCCATGAATAATTTTGAAATTATTTTGTAATTGCTTACTATGAGATGAATGTTATGGACTAGGAGCCTGTAGTTTTCATGAGACCAAATTGACAATTTGGTCTCCCCCCCCCTCAAGCATTTGAATCCATGCCTCGATGACATTCCCAGACAGAATTGTAGACAAGGAGTAGGTTGGACAACAAACTTTCTTAACACTTTCGAGCTCTCGCGGCACTCCAGAGAATTACCGATTTTTCTCTCGAGTCTGCCTAACGGATTCACTCACGAGTCACAAGAAAAAATATTTCTATAAAATCCATTTTTTATCCGATCGACTTGGGGATAGTTTAAAAATGTTCACCATGAAATTTTTGTTTTCCCTAATAGCCTATTTGGGAGAACGGCATGGCATTGCATCATCGTGGTAAGACCATTGTATTGTTGACACGATGAGTGTAATTGATGTAGTTTTTTATTTGGTGCCGGTCTAACGCATCCTTGTGTGACATTTTATACTTGATGTTCTTCTAGAACATTCTATTGCGAACACATTGTTACAAAAATGAAATACATACATCGAAAATTAAGGTCAGAACAGTGAAAAAGAGTATACACTTTTCAACAGGGGTTTCACCGATGTGCCATCGGGTGTGCGGTAACAGGTAACACTTCGGCCACTTCCCACACTCTTGCGGGTGGGCCGCAATCATGATTCTACATTTATATGCGTATGTACTCTAATTTTATTTTATTTTTTTTTAATTTTATTGCGATCGATTATTGCGATCAGTGATACCAAATTTAATGCTGTAGGACAAGTGTGGAGTTGACAACCCTGAAAAGAGTAGAAACAATTTATTGCTGTTTGGTGCTCACGACTAGTGATCGACGTAGTTCTTTATTTGGTGCTGGTCTAACTCATGCTTTGGTGATATTTTAAACATGTTTTTCTAGAACATTCCATTGCAAACACATTGCTACAAAAATGATATATGTGCATCGAAAATTAAGGTTAGGACAGTAAAAAAGAATATACACTTTTCAGTGTTGCTGCTCAATCGCCCGAAACGCCGCACGTACAAGGGGCAAGTTTTTTTTTTCATTCGCCAGGTGCTCGAAAGTGTTAAATCTGCCACAAGCATCTTCACAATAAATAACAATAACAACCTTTCATACATTCACCATATATCACTGATGAACATTTCTCCAGATATAGCATAAGACACCACAAATTAAACAATGAATTTCCACAACTACAGCATCCTTAACCAGTGTCTCCCACCTAGTGATGATCGCACTTTGATTCTTTGTGAAGAATTTCATTGTTTTGTGCTTTTTTGGTTTCTGAACATAAAAGTTTTATTATATATCACGCCTCGGGTTCCAAGAAGTCAGTGGTAATGTTCAACCTAAGAAAATAGTTGTGAGGATGACGATAGAGTTAAAACAAGATATAGTGAGAATGTGATGTCTCACTACAGACAAGTGTTAAAATGTAGGGAAAAACAAATGTCCAACAGATTCTTAGCAAGACAAGCAGGCAATGAGCCACAACTAGGTCCTAGTGGTATGCCTGCAAAACATAAGAGTACCCCACAAATGTCATCACTGCCTGATGTTATAATGGAAGGGGGACTCCCCTTCCAAACACAAACACCTCTTCTCCCCCCCCCTTCCTCACTGTCTTCCATACACCAACAAGAGCCCTTCATAAAAGATAAGGTACCTATCCTTAGGTTATCTTGAGATGATTTCGGGGCTTAGCGTCCCCAATCCTCTACCAGGCCTCCTTTTTGAGTTGACTTCCACACCCCCCCCCCACAATCAGGAAGCAGCCCGTAGCAGCTGTCTAACTCCCAGGTATCTATTTACTGCTAGGTAAGAGGCATCAGGGTGAAAAACTTTTTGCCCATTTGTCTCCGCCTTCACCAGGGATCGAACCCAGTGAACCTCAGTACTACGAATCTGAAGCGCTCTCCACTCAACACTCAATATGCTAAGAGTATTATTTTGTATAAAATTTATTTGTTAGTTAATATTTCTGGGGATGTGGAACGGATTGATTCCATTTACATTATTTCTAATGGAAAAATTAGTTTCGGTATTTGTAGTTTCAGTTTTCAAACCATCTCTGGGAACGGATTAACTACGAAAACGAAGGTACCACTGTATATAAAAGTAATGATCAATTAAAAGATTTGTGATTATGAGAATAATCATGCCTATCTACATGGACCTACAATACCTCTACATGGACCATGTCATTTTTGGTGAACTCTTTCAAGACCAGAAAGAATTCTGGTCTTGAAATAAATTCATGTATCATCTCAAAATACTATAATGAAAATCAATCTTACATAAAACACAAATTTACTAAAAAAAAAACATACCTCAGCTAAGTTTATTTGGATGGAGGCATGGTCCTTGGCATAGATGATGCGGTTAGATGCTGAACATTTGCGTGGCACGTACAGATCCACGTATTCTCCAGCGTCGTTTTGCATGGTGATGGATTTAGGATACTTTATCTGCAGCACAAAAATGAGATTAGTCTACAAGTGACATTCACTGCACATTAACAATGTACAAAAGCAATAAAAAAAAATTGTAAAAACCTTGGCAGACTTTTACAAGGGATCTAAAGTCAAAAGCCTAATATGACTAAGATTTTAATCATACATACTGCAGCTACCACTCTTTTAGTGCTGGCTTCTTAAATAACTATATTTAGCCACTATCATTAATATAAACATTACTGTGCAAAAGAGAAAGAGGATCAAAAATATAAATGCATAATATATGGAACAATGAAAATAAGATCCTATTAGGACAGGTGCAGACAGTCACAGTGAGAAGGTATGTTAGCTGAAGCTCTGATTGTAGTAATATTATCATAGTAATAATGGAAGGTGTAGTGAAGGAACTGATGAATCTAGTTGGAGCTCTGAGAACAGAGTTGGATTCCATATGGTAGGAAGTACTACAACTGAAACAACGTCGAGAAGAAACAAAGGAGCAGACCAGTAATAAAAAGACCTAGTCTTGGAATGTCATAAAGGACAGAGGTCTTAAGACTTTGAAAAAGCTGCCTACAGATATCCTAAGAACTTCTAACTTATTCGTCATCTTGGAGGACGTATGCTGTGGGGAGCCTGCAGTTCGCTCAAAAGGGAAAGCAACGAAGAGCAACGAAGCACGGGTCCCTCAAAGTGCTCAGAAAGTAAAGCAAGTACCTAAGCGGATTTTGGTTGTGGAAGATTCCCAGGTGAGGTATTTGGATAGAACCTTTTGTGCAGGATAGGTAGAATAGGTTAACCCTTAGACTGCACATATTGGGGGCCTGGTAGCGAAAAATATTCAAATTACGTAAAAATAACCAGCATTATCCTCACTTTAATAAGACTTAATCAAAATCCTCAGATTAGGCAAAATTGTAATTGTCAATAAAGATGTTATAATAATAATAAATGAAAAAATAACTTGAATGTTAAACAAATCTCCAACCTCAATCGCTTCAATCTCACGAATTTTTAAAAAATGAGAACGTTTTGATAAGGAGAACAGCTCCTAATAACTGGAACTAAATGATTATGCAGTAATAAAGAGATGCAAGCACCTGTCCAATGTTTAAAAATGAGCAATAGTAAGAAGTGTCCACAAAGTGGATATGCAGTTGGTGCCTTTTGTATCATTGCTGAGTAATACATAACACAAATAATGATATGCTCATAATATGCAAATAATTAATATGCTCTATTTTTTTATATATCATAAATACATTGTCCAATGTTATTACAGTATATGTTACTTTCATCAATGTCCCAAAAAAATGTTTTTATAGTAATTTTTTTTTTATTCTAAGATTTTAGTTGTTTTATTTCTCCTTTGTTTATTATCTTATTTTGATGTAACCTTTACATCCTGGAGAGTGCATATGTTTCCTTAACTATGTGAAGATAGAATGAAATTGGTCAACAAATAAATCAGTCACAACTTGCAAAACTTGGGACTTAATTTTTTTTTTTTTTTTGGGGGGGGGGGGGGGGGGGGGGGGGGGTGATTTTTTCTCAGTTTTCAAACTATTTTCTTTGTCTCTTTAGGTTGTTTTGATGATTAGGGACCGTATTAAGGTTTTTTCACTCAAAGTAAACCCTAAATATATATCCCCCTAAATCATAACTATTATAATTATCCCCATATTTTGTGTTTTTTGGGGGTTATTTTTTCTTGACTTCATTGCAGCACATATTGACCTACAACTTTCACACATTTGAGTATGAATGCCAAACAATGTTCATTAAAAGATACAATTAAATTAACGAATTAAAACTACCTTTATTCATTGTTGATAACATCAACTTCAATTATCCCTGAAACTAGAGTTTCAACTTTGGAGTAGGTTCTAAAATTCCAGTTTTTGACCAATTCTCACTATTTTGACATTGTGTGCTTAGCTGTCTGTTCTACAATCCCTTCAGAATGGATTTTTCATAAACTTTATACATTTGAAATTAAAAATTTTTTTGGTCTAAATTTGCCACATATTTCAAATATCCTATTGACGATTTTTTTTTTACAGTAAACTATACTGAAAACCTATATTCTTATTTGATGAAAATAAAGACGATATGCTATTCTGAGAGAACAACATTAAATGAACAATTGGTGATAGTTCATATTTTTTATTCTGAATTGAAAATCTGACGTTTTTAATATTCAATTTTAGAATTAATTTTGATTCTCTCGTTTTTCAAGTTACGCTGTAATCATTTAGACAAAGTTGGAGCATTTGCTTAGTCGATTATGAAAAAAAAAAAAAAAATTATTGGAGAGTGTTTGTGCAAGTTTTAAAAACTTATGTTAAATTATTGTCAAATCATATATGTATGTATTGCGCAGTCTAAGGGTTAAGGGAGCTGGAATTGTAACATTGTTAACAACATGAATGATATTTTGGCTGGAAATGGGAACAAACCCATTATTTGTATCAGTGCAGGTGGAAATGATGTTAAATGAGTTAGTAATGAGGCATTGATACAGAGGTTTAAGACACCCATAGAATTAGTTAGGAGCAAGTGAGGAATACCAATCATGTGGCATTCTTCCAAGAAAGGGAGTTGGAAATGAATGGTTGTCGAAGGCACTTGACACTTCAATTGTCAAGTGTCAATTGCCAACTGGACAAACATTGCAAATCAAATGCAATATCATCGATAACTGGGAACACTTATGGAAGGAATGATATGTATGCTTGAGATGGGGTTCTTCTATCTACGGCTGGAGTTGTTGCTGTTGCAAACTCGTTGGAACCTGTGGTTGGAGGGGTTTGTTTGGGTTTAAACTTAGTAGACAGTCATTTGAGAATTGACATGTAGAAAGGAGGTAATAAAAGTACGTGTTTGTGGGGGAAACAAATTGGCAAAATAATCAATGAAAGAAAAGGGCTTCAAAATAACGACACACTTGGGGTATATTACACGAATAGTAGGAGTCTAAAAAACAAACGATTTAAATGCTCTTGTCTGCACAGCAAAAATGGATATTATGGCACTTACTGAAATGTGAATGAATGTAGAAAATAGAGCTATTAGCTGAATATCAAATAAATGGATGAAAACTATTTCACACTGATAGATATATTAGACGAGAAGGGGGAGTAGCCATATATGGTAGGGAAAATTTGAAATGTGGTCTCAAAGAGGGATCAAAATCCCTCAAGAAATCAAAATTGAGCCCCCACACAGAACCTATATGGCTAGAATTAAACAAAAAAGTAAATAATCTTATAATAGAAGTTATATATAGGCCTCCAAACTTACACAGAATGGAAGCAAAGCATCTATGGGATGAAATATCTAGAGCATCTAGGTCTAACAGTATTTTTCATGAGTGACTATGTTAGTGGAATAAACTGATTTAACAGAACAGGGTTATAATGAAGCAGATTTTCTAGAAATAATTGATGATTGTTTCCTTACACAACACGTTAAGGAACCAACGAGGGAAATAATATTTTAGATTTAGTGTTAACAGGGAAACACAAATTAATGACATCAAAATAGGGAGAAAGCTAGGGAACAGTGATCACAAAGAAATCAGATTTAGTATAGAGTGGAATCGATTTGTAGGGGAAAATTCTGTTAACACTATCGCTCTCTTTGGACACCGATCATGTCCATTTTTTTCTCTCTCTCAAGTCCTAGCCGTGGACAGGACTCGCGTCCACTACATAAATATTTGTATAAAATTCATTTTTTATCCGATTGACCTCGGGATAGTTTCAAAATAAAGAGCCTTTAGAATGCACACAATTTGATATCAAAATGAAAGATGTAACACGAAACTTGATGTCAGAACACTTGAAAGATTATAAATATGCTTTTGGGTCTAAAATTAAAAATTTTAAAATATTTGTTAAAATTCTATTTATTGTGTTAATATTATGGGACTAGTTTTAAAATGCGCGCCTTTATATTGCGAACAATTTGATACCAAAACGAGCGATGTAACATGAAAATTTATGTTATCAAACTGAACAAGTACACACATTAGTTTGTAGAGTGCAAATTGGTGCTCGTTCACGGGTAAATTTAGGCTTTGCTGCGGAGAGTCTCGCCAGGCTTTTGGACATTATATGTATATACATCTACAGGGAATTTAATTGCAAACACAATGATACCAAAACAAATGACATAGCACGAGAATTAAGGTGAGAAAACAAATGAGTACACACATTTTACTGATTTTGTGTGCTCACGAGCAACTTTTTAAACTTTAGGCTTTGCTGTGGGGGAGTCTCGCTAGGCTTTTGGACATTATATGCATATACATCTGCAGGGAATTTAATTGTGAACACAATGATACCAAAACGAACGACATAGCACGAAAATTAAGGTGAGAAAACTGAAACGAGCATACACATTTAGGCGTCGCCGCATGCTCGCCCGCACCATTAGCCCCACAACGTCAAAGTCTGCGGCGCTCACGTGGCGCGCGCAATAGTGTTCTGATTTTAGGTGTTCAGAGAAAGTACCAGATTTTTGAAAAGCTGATTTTAATAGCCTAATTTTTTTTTTGGGGTGAAATAGATTGGAAAGTCCTGGGCATAGGGGGTGGGCTGGTCTTGGAGCAAGACGTGAACCCAGCGAGAGGTCATGTAAAAAGGGATTTTTGTGGATTCAAAACATAACTTACTTAAAAATATTCTAAGCAAAGAACAGGAATGTAGTACACCATACAAATTGCAGATTGAATAATGACCTGAAATGGATAACAAAGGATCGGAAGACCCTCATAGGTAGAAAGAGAGCGTGGTACAAAGAATTAAGAATGGGGAAGTCAGTTTAGAACAAGAATTCGTCCAACTGGTTGGAAATGTTAAAAAAAAAAAGACGAGGGCAAAAAACTATGAAGATCGTATAGCAGGGCAAGCAAAGACAAATCCTGAGGTTTTTTCAGTTATATCAAACAAAGATCAGGGAAAGTATAGGTCCATTAAAACAGACAGGTCAGATAACAGATAATGACGAAGAGGCAAGTAGTATTTTTAATAAATATTTTATCCATATTTACTACAAAGAGAATCTATAGAGAATTTATCTATATTTACTAGAGAGGATAAGTTGACTAGTTTAGCAGTTACCAGGGAGGATGTTATTAAACAAATAAACTCAACCAAACAAATCCCCAGGGCTAGACTGGGGATTGCCAGGGTGCTTAAAGAATGCAAAGAGGAGCTTTGCGAGCCACTGTTTACCATATTTAATAAATCATTAGTCAGGCAGTGCCAGTCGTGGAAGGTTGCTAATGTGATACCAATTTTTAAGAAAGGAGATAGATCACTTGCGTCAAACTATTGGCCAATTAGCCTACCGCATATTGTGGGAAAGTTACTTGAATCAATAATTGCAAATACCATTCGTCTTCAGCTCTAAAAACAAATTAATAAATGATTCACAACATGATTTTACAAATGGCTGTTCATGCTTAACAAATTTGCTATCATTTTATTCCAGCACAGTTGAGGCAGATGATAGTGATGTTGTGTACCTTGACTTTAGCAAAGCTTTTGATACAGTGCCACATGAAAAACTGATTAAAAAGATAAGAGGCTCAAGGTATTGGGGGTGCTATATTAAAGTTGGATTAGGGCATGGCTATACCAAACAGTGTAAATGGGGTAAGTCAATAGGAAAATGTTTTAAGTGGAGTGCCTCAAAGCTCAGTCCTGGGACCTCTGTTATTTATAATAGTGTATATATAAATGATTTAGATTCAGGTTTGAGCAGCAATATTTGCAAATTTGCCGATGACAAAAATTGGGAGGGAAATAAAACACAGAAAAAGACTCGCGATTACTTCAAGATGATCTAAATAGGGTTTTGCAATGGTCAAAAGATTGGCAGACACAGATTAATGCTGACAAATGTAAGGTTTTGAGGCTAGGTAATGATGATAGTTACTAGATACAAGTTAGATGGTGTTGAGATTGCGAAGTCGGATTGCAAAAGGGATACGAGCTATGATTATTAAGAATTTAAAACTAAAAAAATGAATGCATAAATGTTCGTAATAAGGCAAATAGAACACTGGGATTTATTAATCAAAGCGTTAGTAACAAGACACCTGGTGTTCTCCAGCTATATCTTGCTCTGGTTAGGCCCCATTTAGATTATGCAGTTCAGTTATGGTCACCATAGTATAGAATGGATCTAAATTCACTAGAACACGTAAAGCGTAGGATGACAAAGTTAATCCCCCATATTAGAAATCTGTCATATGAAGAAAGATTGACAAAGGTAGGAAAAGCGGCAGCTTTACAGTCATGTGCATGCATTACCTATAGTAAGCAAATTTTGGATACTTCGCTAAAATTTTGGGCAGCACATCATTATGAATGCATTCTCTAGAAATGCGAAGAAATAAGGGTGACATGATAGGAGTTTACAAGTGGACGAAAAGGCATAAAGGGAGAATTAATAATTTTAATCCTAAGAATTAATAGGGTATTGTAAGTATCAACACAACACTAAACAATGGGTATAAATTGGATACGTTTAAATTTAGGAAAGACCTGGGTAAATACTGGTTCGGTAACAGGGTTGTTGATTTGTGGAACCAATTACTGCGTTACGTGGTGGAGGTGGGGTTCCACGATTGTTTCAAGTGTGGGTTGGACATGTATGAGTAGGATTGGGTGTTAATAAATAGGAGCTGCCTCGTATGGGCCAATAGGCCCTCTGCAGTTACCTTTATGTTATGTTGTCCTTTATGTTCTTAACTGTAGTCAATATCAAAAAATTTATTCAGGTAAAAGTAGATACATAGAAGATGAGTTACAAACATAACATTAGATTGATAGATAAAAGCTAGTACATACAATGCCTAGAGCCACTAATACGCATAGCATTTCGGCAATTTTCGGTGCCAAGACTAATGTGAGTGAACTGGAATGTAGGCACCACAAGCAGTTGTTTAATTCAGCTTTTAGGAAAAAAAAGTTCCAAGTAGCACTGGCTATGGTGAGCCCGTGAAGCAGTGTTCCAAGACCATCTTGTAGTGCACTACACCCTACAGTACATAAGAACATAAGAATAAAGGTAACTGCAGAAGACCTACTGGCCATATAAGGCACTACTCTAACCTAACTTGTCCACTATATCACCCCTTAACTCTTCCAAAATTTACCAACGTTTCACACAATGCTGCACTGTTAACCACAGGAAATATATACTAATACATATGTATATTAGAGCTTTGTAATCCAGGCTGGAAGCAGCCGCTGGAGGAAGATAACCTGGACTAAGCCTCGTGTTGCCCAAACGTTACCGTCAACCTAACACTCCCCTACCACAGTGTTCCACAACAGTTAACGCCTCGTGCACCCCACTGCTAGCCTTGAGCGGTGCTGGGGGAACCATTTCTTGGCTGTGTGGAGATGTTTACATGGCGGGAGGCGAGGTGGCGCCCCACCACCAGCGCCGCCACCTTACTCCTCACTATACACATGACCTGGGGCCCAGGTGCCACCACACCTGGCACTGTGGCACCAGACACCCCTGCCCTGGCCCTCATACCTGCCTCAGCTGCTCACAAACACTCACAGTGAGAGAGAAGAGAGAGTTTAGTGGGGACCACGTGTACCACTCACCCGCGAGCTGACGGTCCACCAGGGAAGGAACAAGTGACGAGCGGCTCCCCGCCTCCTCCATCCCACACACCAAACAAGAAAAAAAGGAATACATATAATAAAAATGTATGTTTTATTTTATTTATTTACTTATTTATTTATTTTTATTTTGTATTTTTTTATATACAAGAAGGTACATTGGGTTTATGAGAGTACATGGCATTGATGTTTTTACATTCTTGTATAGTGTGATTTACCATCTTTTATTGTGTATGTGCTAAGTATGGCATGGTGGGAATATGTATGGGAATATTAGATGAACTTATAGCTAGTTGTTTAGTCAGAGTTGGTTTATTTTTGTATTGAGGCAGGTATTTTCTCCCCCGATTCCATGTATGACTAACCATCCTGTGAGATGGCACAGAAGCCCTCCAGAATTTCTTTATTGAAGATCAGCATTGTTCCAAATGGATAACAAAAACTGGAACTCAACTCAGAATGTATCAGGTTCATGATTTGTACCAAGAGAAACAACAACAGCACTTTCCTGCACCGTGGGAGGTTACACCCTTTCCAGTTTTAATCCCTCCCTTGCCACCCAATTCAATTTCTTTCTTTATTATGCACCCCATACCCATCCCGTGGGCGGTGGTGTAAAGGATTACACAGGCACATAATCGGTTCAGGAACTGAACCCTCTAGTTCGTTTAGCTAAGCAAATAACAATGTTTGACGCTAGTTACAAAATTATCAATGTTGTATACACATGTACACACCCTCATACAAACATGTACATATATATATATATATATATATATATATATATATATATATATATATGTCGTACCTAATAGCCAGAACGCACTTCTCAGCCTACTATGCAAGGCCCGATTTGCCTAATAAGCCAAGTTTTCATGAATTAATTGTTTTTCGACTACCTAACCTACCTAACCTAACCTAACCTAACTTTTTCGGCTACCTAACCAAACCTAACCTTTAAATATAGGTTAGGTTAGGTTAGGTAGGGTTGGTTAGGTTCGGTCATATATCTACGTTAATTTTAACTCCAATAAAAAAAAATGACCTCATACATAATGAAATGGGTAGCTTTATCATTTCATAAGAAAAAAATTAGAAAAAATATATTAATTCAGGAAAACTTGGCTTATTAGGCAAATCGGGCCTTGAATAGTAGGCCAAAAAGTGAGTTCTGGCTACTAGGTACGACATATATATATATATATATATATATATATATATATATATATATATATATATGTCGTACCTAGTAGCCAGAACGCACTTCTCGGCCAACTATTCAAGGCCCGATTTGCCTAATAAGCCAAGTTTTCATGAATTTATTGTTTTTCGACAACCTAACCTACCTAACCTTACCTAACCTAACTTTTTCGGCTACCTAACCGAACCTAACCAATAAAGATAGGTTAGGTTAGGTTAGGTAGGGTTGGTTAGGTTCGGTCATATATCTACGTTAATTTTAACTCGAATAAAAAAAAATTGACCTCATACATAGAGAAAAGGGTTGCTTTATCATTTCATAAGAAAAAAATTATAGTAAATATATTAATTCAGGAAAACTTGGCTTATTAGGCAAATCGGGCCTTGAATAGTAGGCTGAGAAGTGAGTTCTGGCTACTAGGTACGACATATATATATAATATATATATATATATATATATATATATATAATGTCGTACCTAGTAGCCAGAACTCACTTCTCAGCCTACTATTCAAGGCCCGATTTGCCTAATAAGCCAAGTTTTCCTGAATTAATATATTTACTATAATTTTTTTCTTATGAAATGATAAAGCAACCCTTTTCTCTATGTATGAGGTCAATTTTTTTTTATGTATATATATTTATATATATATACATAAAATATGAGGTCAATTTTTTTTTATTGGAGTTAAAATTAACGTAGATATATGACCGAACCTAACCAACCCTACCTAACCTAACCTAACCTATATTTATAGGTAAGGTTAGGTTAGGTAGCCAAAAAAAGCTAGGTTAGGTTAGGTTAGGTAGGTTAGGTAGACGAAAAAACATTAATTCATGAAAACTTGGCTTATTAGGCAAATCGGGCCTTGAATAGTAGGCTGAGAAGTGCGTTCTGGCTATTAGGTACGACATATATATATATATATATATATATATATGTCGTACCTAGTAGCCAGAACGCACTTCTCAGCCTACTATGCAAGGCCCGATTTGCCTAATAAGCCAAGTTTTCCTGAATTATTATACTTTCTCTAATTTTCTTCTTATGAAATGATAAAACTACCCATTTCATTATGTATGAGGTTAATTTTGTTTTATTGGAATTAAAATTAACGTAGATATATGACCGAACCTAACCAACCCTACCTAACCTAACCTAACCTAACTTTACAGGTTAGGTTAGGTTAGGTAGCAGGAAATGTTAGGTTAGGTTAGGTTAGGTTAGGTAGGTTAGGTTAGGTTAGGTAGGTTAGGTAGTCGAAAAATCATTAATTCATGAAAACTTGGCTTATTAGGCAAATCGGGCCTTGAATAGTAGGCTGAGAAGTGCGTTCTGGCTACTAGGTACGACATATATATATATATATATATATATATATATATATATATATTATTAAATATGACCGAAAAAGTAAGATTAATAATTCTAACACGAATTTTCTCAATCTTTCGTACATTACGCTTCACTGTTGGAGGTAAATAATAATAATAATAATAATAATAATAATAATAATAATAATAATAATAATTTTATTTAGGCAAAGGTACATACATAAAGAGATTTTACAAAGTTTGTTGGCTTTATAGATAAGAGCTAGTAATATATATATTGTGACGGTAACGCGTTGGTGTTCGGCTGTTTAAGGCTAGGGGTATGGCCTCGTCACATAGTTATAAAAAAAAATAGAAAAACTGGAACTTCGTCTGTGGTAAGGTAAGGAGAAGACACACAAAACACAAGTAAACTTTAACAATGAAATTTTAATTACGTTAAATAAATCAAAACATGAAAATAATGCACAAACAAATATGTATAATAAAATCAATGAATCAAAATAATAAGAATACTTAAATGACACAATGAAAAGTTACGTTAAGGCAAAATAACAAGAAGTGCAACACAAAAGTTAAGTGGGAGGTGCTGGAATATTGGCTTAAAGCCACCACCTCTCTCAGTACACGCTAACGTCTAGCTGGGAGGAGTGCTGGCTACGAAAGCACGGAACATTCTGAGGACTGATGTTGGGGCGACCCCAGACATCAGGTAGTATTGGGGGCGAGTGCAGGTGCAGCCAGACCGGCGACCAATCAGCGGAGCCGTAGCGATCAACGGGTAGTTTGGTGGTTGGAGTTCGAACAGGTGGCTGGTTGCATACGTTTCTGCTCACCCTGGCAAGCCTTGCTGGTGTGGTGTTGTTGTCGTTGTTGGACATTTCTTCCATAGTCTTTTATATAATTGTGAAGACGTAATTTTGGAGGGAAGAGCAGGCTCAATCTCTTGAAGGAGATTATCGTCACAACTCTCCCCCGAAGCCTGCGGTTCTGGAAGAAGTACGTCGTTATGTGGTGGAGTAATGGATGGAGTTGCTTCTACTTCATAAACTCTGGAGAGATCATGGGCTAAGATGTTGTCAGACTCTTGGTATAGCGTGTCTCCAGGTTGAATTTCTGCAGTTAGCAAGCCCATAGTAGAAGACGTTGAGATGAGAAGTGGGCGTGCTGCAGGAGGTGTAGGGTGGTGTGGTCCGTATTGATGGTGGACCGAGCACTTTTCAGGTGTGGAGTGAAGTGCTGAAGCTTCAGGATGAGGAAGAGTAGCTCCTTGCCAATTGTTCCGTAGATCCTTGTAGCAGTAGTCGCTGACAGGTGTATTCTTCTCGCCTCGTTGCTGCATCACGACACCACCCACGTCGGTACCATTGGCGTCGACATGGAGGATGAAGGGCTTATCTGACGAGGTGAGAGTGGAATTAGAAGAGGGCATAGGAGCACGATTATTATCCTGAAAGCATTTGGGAAGATCATTAAGGATTTTGGAATTAGAAAGCGCCGACTCCTTGTCAGTGCTTTCGGGAGAAGAAGCCGGGATGGTCTCACTGTGGATGTAGGGTTCTGTGAAGGTAGAACAATTAATCAAGACAGTGGGAGGAGTACCATTATATTGCTTCAGGAGGTTGACGTGGCACAGCTGGGTCTTCCGCCGCCTATCTGGAGTCTCTATCACATAATTATTATTATTCCTGCACTCTTTGACGCAGTAGGGTCCTGAAAATCTGTTTTGTAAAGGTGAACCTGGGATAGGGAAATAAGCAAGGACGAAGTCTCCCGGCTTGAATTTTCTTACTTTGCTGGTCTGGTCGTAATGAGTCTTCATTCTCACCTGGGCTTTCAATAGATTATCATGAGCAAAGCGGTGGACTCTCTCTAGAATGTGTTGAAGGTTTTGAAGAAACTGGGGCACATTCTGATGCTCACTGAAGGTGGCATCTCTGAGAGAGTCTTTGAAAGCCTTAAGGGGAGTACGGCACTTACGGCCGTAGAGCATCTCATAAGGAGATACTCCTAGGGACTCATTGGGGAGACTTCTGAAAATACACATTATTAGGTCAATCTGCTTATCCCAATCCTTTGAGGTTTCACTACAAAACTTTTTCAAGAGTGCTTTGATGGTCTGATGACTACGTTCAAGAGAACCCTGTGAAGCAGGATGATAGGGGCTGGACAATACCTGTTTGATGTTGAACTCCTCCAGTGTCCTTTTGAAGAGATCACTGGTGAAGTTGGTGCCACAGTCACTTTGAATCTCCCTGGGAAATCCGTATTGAGTGAAGATCTTCAGTAGATGTTTGATAACCGTAGCAGCCGTGATGTTCTTCACTGGAACTGCTATGGGAAATCTGGTGGTAGGACACAGGATGGTTAGGATGTAGGCGTTACCTGAACTGGTCCGAGGTAAAGGACCAACACAGTCTATTATGAGTCTGTGGAAAGGTTCCGCAGGCACCTGTATGGGAATCAGTGGTGCTCTGGGAATGGAGACGTTCGGTTTGCCTGCCATCTGACATGTATGACAC